TCTAGAGCTAGACGTTCAAGGGTTAGGTGTAACAAGTCGATCGGTGTAATGTAGCCAGCTGCCACCGCGCCGCGTACCTGCAAAGCTGGTGTGTTACACCAAAAGGCGGTTATACTGGCTATACAGAATCTGATACAGATACCTATTCCCGAAAATTAATTTCGAGCCCTGCAGTTTGTACTGACACCTGCTATGTTTTTGTGGGAGACAAAATAGTTTGAGGACCGTTTTGACAGGACCTGTCTGTCCCAGGTCTTCTCAATTACTAACTGAGGACTGCCTGTCTGAAGTCAAGAGCCTGGAAAGAAGAATGTTTGTTGCCTGAGAAAATGTGGGAGTAGCTACAGTTGTAACTTGGTGAAAGGAGAGTGACATACTGTTACCCTATGCTGAGCTGCCAGGGGGGCCAAAATCTAATGATTTCTAGGTCCGATCAAGACCTACCCACATACCAAATATCAAGACAATCCAGCCAGGCATTCTAAAGTTATCACGTTCACACACACACAGACACACATACACACACACACACAGACAAATACTCCCCAAAACATTAACATTCTTGGCAAAGTATTATATTTTGCTGCACCAAAGCTGAGGACATCCTGCCAGGACAGTCAAGTTCAATAGCAGAGCCACAGTAGCTAATGTTTCCCAATTAAGGCTGCTGAAAGTTCCTTGCATCATTACTTTTTGAGGACTTCCTGCAGAGACAGAGTCTCCCTTGGCAGGTATGTGTTACCATACACAGGTATCATGTTGTCACTTCTGGCCCTGTTCCAGGTAAGGGTCTTCTCCTCCGATATTTAGACATGAACGTTTCATGAAACCTAAGACTGTGGGACCTTATTTATAAGATTCTGTAAACCTGTATGTGATACTGATAATAAAATATATATGTAGATAACTTTCCAGGTAATGTAATAAGAGTCTTCTTCTAGCCTAAGAAAAGGCCTTTTTTCTTCTCCTTGGGCCTTTACAGAACTTTGGGGGGTTATTGGTGATATTCAGACATGCAGGTTTGAGGAAACTCAACACTGTGGTGGCATAGATCCTTCTGCCCTAAAGGTAACACAGAAGTGACCTGTATGTGATAATAGGTAACTTTCCAGGTAACGTTAAGGGTCTTTAGCTTCTCCTAAGGTGGCCTCAAAAAGGGGCTTTTTTAGACCTCCTTTGAAACCTAAGATCATGTTGGCCTAAGATCCTGCTTCACTTGGTTACACAGAAGTGACCTGTATGTGATACTGATAATCTCACTAATAGTAATAAATATAGATAACTTTCTAGGTACGGGTCTCTTCCTTGGGACTTTACAGAACTGTGGGGGGTTAATCATGATATTAATTAATTTTGGACTTGTTTCATGAAACCAAACACTGTGATGGCCCCAAATCCTTCTGCACTGAAGGTTAAACACAGAAGTGTGTGATACTGATAATAGACAAATAATTATAGATAACTTTCTAGGTACGGGTCTCTTCCTTGGGACTTTGCGGAAGGTTAATAATGATATTCAGACTTGTACGATTTGTGAAACCCAACTCTGCGGTGGCCTAAGATCCTGCTGCACTTGGTTACACAGAAGTGACCTGTATGTGATGCTGATTATAGATAACTTTCCTATCTATTTTTCATTTTGACAGCTGATGTCTTGGAGGTCTACTTGAACAAATCACATACAAAATGTAGTTGACACCAACAGGTAGAGGTTGGGGGGCCTGTTTGTGACTTTTTAAAAGCTTTTTAGGCATTTTATCAGGCTTCCTTTTCTGTTGGCTTTTCGTTTGGTATCCTGGTATAGCACACAAGAAATGAAGTACATACAGAGAACTGATATGCCATAAGAAAAAACAAAATTATAAGCCCCCAAAAAAGACTGACTCATACATGTACTGCAGAGCCTAATAGGGAGGATAGTAAAAATCCACGGTACAATATTGTATGTTTCTTAGCATGAAAGTTCATCTGTGTTGGTACAAATCATTATGAAATAAAGACTGAACTTTAACTTCCAACACTAGATATAGAATTGGGACTTACCCCAATTCTATATCTAGTGTTGGAAGTTAAAGTTCAGTCTTTATTTCATATTGTATGTTTCTTGATCAGATTGTGAAGTTTGTTTCTTAACTTTTGAATTTGCCCTTGCACCATCCCTTCTATGTCCATGTAAGTTGGATATGGATAGACTTCTTGGTCACCAGCCAAAGTTAGCATAGCAGAGACACTCCTCTGATACCCGATAGACAAACTCTGTCAAAAAGTTTTTCTTGGTCATACAGGTTCACTTATCATGCCTTATATCAGTGTGTGATGATAATCTTTAAGAAAAATATATGATGCTGTCAGAAGTTGTGTAACATTAGAGGCCGGTAGACACATTCGAACTGTAATTTGTTTCCTTGGATTTCAGCCAAAGGCCTTTGACTTAGGCGTTGAATTCTTTTGTGCCTTCCATGTGTTCTGACTTTATCCTGGCTACATTTGGTGGACTTCGGGCAAGCACGGTTAGATTAGGCTGCAAATTCCACCTTCACGGTGACTGCCTTTTGGAAAAAGACTAGCCTCCGTAGCAGGCTTATAGAACTGGGGTTTGGTGGTCTTCGGCTGTTTTCTGATTAGCCCAGTTCTAAAAACGAGGGTAATTAAACCAGGCCAGCTATGCTGTCTATATGCAATCAGAAAATAGCACATAAAATCACGCATTTAGACCCTGAAGACCCTCAAAACCCCCAGTTTTTGGCATGCTGTGGAGGCTAAAAAGAGACGGGGTTTGTATCGTGTTTGTATTGTCGTTGTCTGCTTTGCCAATGGATTTGGGTGGTCATGATCTGGTGGCCACACACCACAAGGTTTCTCTCACCTTTTTGTCCCTCTAGCCCACACAAAGGTATACTGTAGATTCAGTAACTTTTCCTGTGGTTTAAGTTTCAAGGTTTTGGGGATGACCCTGTACTATGAAATCAAAACATTGTAATAGTGTTTTTATAGGTCTACTAACTGTAGTAAAGAATTGTCTCGAATGTAAACTTAAAACAATGTTAAAACTTCATTTTCCCTTCTATCACGAAATAAATCCAACCCAAAACTTTCTGCACTTACAGTAACACAGACTGGAGTAGACAGTGATTCATTCAAAACCTCACCTCACAAAAAAAAAAAAAGAGAGAGAAAAGAAAGCTTATGCTCTGATCGGGTTTCGGTAGGACAAGTTCTTTCTCAATGAGAGAATTTACCCCAAAGGTCATGTTGATAGTAAACAAAGCCACATGAGTATCCGCCGATACTATCTCACGCTAATGTTACCGTACATCTCCGAATTTCTACAGCGCAAAAGGGAGCCAAAAGTTACTCGAAGTTCAAGTCAGAGGCCACGGAACAGTTAATTTGGGTAACAGTTTAAGCACCAAGGCCAAGCAGAATTGTCTGGTAGACTCATTTACTGTTCCAACCACCAGATTGGTGGATAGCTTAGTTACAAAACAAACAGGAGTTACGGTAGGGTGCTCGCACAGTGCTATAGGCAAGGGGCTAGCCCAGTCTGTGGGCCACTCATTAGCTCACCTGCCAGTAGGCATAGCAGGGAAGGTGTACGTTTCTCTCTGCTTGTCCTTCGTGGCTCGTCAAGCTTCCAGCCAACCATCTCCAGGCACTGTGAGCTGGGAGGAGTGGTCTACATACAGGACGGGAGAGAGAAAGGGTCTTCGGGGGAAACATACAGCAGTGATTTTTGTCGCTGGAAAAGATTTTGTGGAGCGGGGAAAGAAAGACCTCAGGCCTGCAGGAAGCCTGGATGGTGTGGTGTGCTTTTGGAGGGGTGGGCTTTTCGTGACCGGCTGCCAATCTTGAGTAAAGGAGAGAGACGTCTTCAATTAGGAAGGAAAGCAGGAAGGAGCTACCTATGTGCACCCTTGCTGTCTTGTTTATACGTGACTGGGGAAAACTGAACAAGGAACATAATTTTTTTCTTGGGGTGTCCTTTTTGAAGACTTCTTGCCAACTCAGTCAAGGGAGAGAGATCTTCAACTGTGGTGGAAAGCCTGAAGGAATTTAGTGAAGTGAACACTCTTTTTTGCTTTGTTTTGCATGTGACTGGAAAAAACTGATCGTTGCAACAAGAAACACGAATTCTCATTCCAGGGAAAATCTTTAACTGTGTGGAAAGCAGGAAGGAAGCTAGAGCCACACTCTTTATGTCTTATTGTGCCTGCAAAAAAAAAACTATCAACCAATCAAGGAACATAATTTTACTATACGCGAACCACTCCAATTAATCTGCATCTCGTTAAAGAAAAGAACCCGGAGGACGAAACTGTCACGCATCTTCAACTGTAACGACTGAGAGCTGTTGGTCATTGGAGAACCGAGACACTGTGTGTAAAGAATTCTAGGGGACAAAAGGGCAAGGCCGGAGAGTCTGTGGATACTGAACTCGGAGCCAAGGGAAACACGGGCAGCCAAGATCACGTAAAGGGAAAGAAGACACACTTGCAACTTTATTCTACGCTGTCAGAAGTAATTGAAAAGTTTGCAGGGGGAATTGCTCGGATCTGTACCCAATTTGTGTGGAGAAAATTGTGCCCTGGGACTGTGTCATTATAACTGCACCACAGGTCGCCTGTTGCCTGGAATTCGCGGTCACGTGCGGGCAAAAAAACGGCTACAATTGACAACCCATGCAGTTATCTTTGGAGCGGAGCACGAATCCGGAAAAAAAGTGAGGTTCATTCTTGGCTTGTAGATTACATTTAAGCCAATCCAGATCCAGAGTTACGGTCTCTTGGTATTCGAGTCTGTGTATCTGGCAAAGAAGAAGGAATCCACCTGTTTAACACACTCCGCTATTCTGGACACAGGGAAATGAGGACTCGGGTCTAAGACTGACAATCAGGGCTAGGATCTGGGTCAGAGGTGTCAGATCCAACCCAAGAGGTCACAAGAGAGGAGGCACCTTCGCACTTGGAGGCAGGGATCATTTGCTAATCATGTTCTTCAAGCAGTGCAACGCACGCAGGTAACCATGACTGGAAAGAGTCTTTCTCTCGGATTTTTCATTTTTATTTGTGTCAAGCTGCTATTTTTCTGCCAGCAGTGTAGTGCGGAGGGCAGCTATTATCTGTATCGGACTCGCAGCCCCCCCAAACTGCGCTCGGTGCTGTACAACCTGGGCCTGTCACAGTCACGTCCCGTACAGAGAGCTGGCACCGTGTCCAACCAGTTGTCACCTTCCTCCCCCCAGGGCTATTCTTCATATTATGTGGTGTCTCAACCGTCAACCTCCAGGGCAGCAACAGCGATCAGTCGAGGAAACAACAGGCAACAACAACGTGTACAGCCATCTTCTTCGTCATCGGGATTTCCCAATCGCGGCGCAAGGACCAAAGTTAAGAACAGACGTCGTCCTTCCGTAACTCCCGCAAGCGGTGGCGGCATTCCTACTCAAGACAACATAGTGCACGGAAGCGTGAACACCCTCAATAGGAACAGGCTCGACTGTCACGGAGGGATTTGCAGGAACACGCAGACCTCGACACAGGTGAGGAGGAGGTACCAGTACCCGTACGTCTACTACACGGTCGGCGCCACGCAACGGTGGATCACGATCCGCCCCATGACAGGTGGGGACAAGAAGACGAAGAAGGGAAAAAAGCCGGCGGCGGTAGAAGAAGAAGAGTTGCCAACGGTGACAGAGAAACCGCAACCGCCAATCACGGAGCCGCCGATGGTGGTCACCCCGGGTTGGACCGACATCAGCTTCCCAGCGGGCGGATACGAGGCACAAAATGATCAAGACGTCAGCGGAGCTGCAAGAGACACTCACTCGAAGATTGATGATGCCAGGAAGAAGCCACCGAGCCTCCTTCAGAAAGTCCTGACGTCAAGCGAAGACGACTTGAAGAGGGAGAAGGAGATAAATGCGAACTTCGTTGCCTACCTCAGCGACGCGATGAGGCCAGCGGAACGGGAGGAGAGCATCAGCGAGGAGTGGAACTCGTTCATGAAACAAGACACCGATGTGAAACCCGACACCAATTCGAAACCCGACACCGTCAGGAGCAACGTGGACGAAGAATCAAAGAGCCCTCGGGAGACAGGCGACGTAAAACTCAACACGTTTGCGGTGACTTACGACAGAGGAAATGTCGTGGTAGACGGAAGAAACACAGGAAACAATAACTTACAATCTGGAAGTAGTAGTACCGGTAGTAGTAGTAGTAGCTCGGTGGAAACGTCTACAACTCACAGCATGGCAAGGAAGAAAGTTGAGAGAACTGGCAGGGTGAGCAACACCTATCGTGTCACGTACGAGGAAAGCCAACCAGCCGATCAAGTTACTACCGGTGCTGCCGGTAATTCGAAAAAGGCGACAGCAGAAGCCGGAAAGACAAGCTCGTTAGGCCAGCCGGCTGTGTTGAAAAAGGTCGAGAGAGCACCCACCGGTTCAAATTCCTTCCTAGTTACATACGAAGAAGAAGACCCTACTAATGTCCCACCCTCTCGCAATGCGAAAAAGACTTCTCTGACACTATCCCATTCCCAAACAGAAGATGAAAGTACAAGAAACAATGTTGAACACAGAATAGCTGAACCCAGGACCTACCAAGTCACATATCGCGACGGAAGAATCGTGACCAAAGTCGTAGGCCAAAGTGAAGCGTCACGAAGAACTGATGACGTAGAACATTCGTCAGAAAGTTACGGCCAAATTGCAGAAATCGTGTCAGGCGAATCCAATGACGACAACACACCAAAACCTGCAGCTTCAAACTCAAGAAGTACAACAAGTTCCAGCAACAATGCAGAAGAAACTCCTGCACAGATGAGGGCAAGGATAGCCGAGATGTACAACCTGCAGATACAGCGTTCGCTGAACAACAGAAACAGGGAACAACTCCGCCTACAACTGGCAAACCAGGGTCAGACCGCAAGAAACCGCGCCACCATTCTCAGCCGACCGATACCAGCTTCTGCAGGCCAGTCCACTTCAACCACAACAAGTCAGGGATCTCAAAGAAACATGGGTGGTCAACTCTACAGACTTTTAGGTAGGCAAGAAAGTAGGGGGAATCCTCCCACAAGACAAACTGGACAAACGAGTAGTAACTCCCAGGACTTAGAAAGGAGTGAAGATCGGCAACATGAAAGTCGGGTAGTAATTGAGGAGGAGGAGCAACCAAGGGTTAGACACAGACTGAGACATGACAGAATAGGCCACAGGGAGGGTCAAATTAACAGTCAATACGGACAGATTGCAAACATTGGTGAGTCCGAAGAAGTGGCAGTTGGAAACAGTAACAACCCCACCGCCGATTCTGCATCGTTAGAAGAGATAGAAGAAGAACACGGTTACTTGAACAGCCCTCCCAACATCATTGTTGACAGGCAAAGAGCAAACCCACACCGCAACAGGCCCTTCATAGAGCAGAGGTACCTGAATTCGCTCGCAGATGTAGTCCAAAACAGCCACCCAGCACAAAGAGGCCACAATACGGACAGAAGGAATGACCAGGGAAGGAGGCAAGGTTGTCATTTTCTTATTAACCTTTTTCTTTATTAGACTCTTTAGCATCTGTATCTGTATAGCCGGTATAACTGACCCTTTGCTTAACACACCAGCTTGCTATCTAGTTAGGATGCCCCTACTAGGTGGCAGTGAGTTCCACTCTACAATTACATGATGTATAATGATCATAGTTATAGGAGAAACAGGTTTTTGAACACGTTAATGCTGGGATGATAACTCTCACTTCTGTGTCTGTATCTGTATAGCCAGTATAACCGCCCTTCGGCGTAACACACCAGCTTCTGTATCATTCTGTATAGCCGGTATAACCGCCCTTCGGCATAACACACCAGCTTCTGTATCTGTATAGCCGGTATAACCGCCCTTCGGCATATCAGACACCAGCTTCTGTATCTGTATAGCCGGTATAACCGCCCTTCGGCGTAACACACCAGCTTCTGTATCTGTATAGCCGGTATAACCGCCCTTCGGCATAACACACCAGCTGGTACTTGTTTTCTGTTCTGAGCTGGTTTTAGATACTTAAGTTGGTACGTCCACTAGTTTATCACTCCGAATATCAGTCATTTTGTACATCATGCATAGTCTCTGGATGTTTCTACTTTAAGGGAAGCCAAGTTACAATTTCTGTCTCTAGCCTGTCCCATTTCGCATCATTGCCTCTGTTGTGATAGTCTTTACTTAAGGTAGGCAAGGTTGCGATTTTTTTTCTGTATCCTTTCTCAGACTGTAGCATCAATTCTGTTGTGATAGTCTCTACTTAGAGGTGGACAGCCTGTCTGCGTAAGCTTGTCATAACAGTCTACTGGTCGGCGACAAGTCCTGTGTGTAAGCTGCGTGACTGTCTGGTCTTAGATGTACCTTAGGCCTAGGAAATAAAATGTTGTGTTTCCTGTTTCAGTCCTGAAAAAAATTAGGGTCCATAGGTAGGGATTATCTTTTTTTTTCTTTCTTTTCTTTAGACTTTGGTAATCTCTATATAGGGATCCAACTTATAGAATTCACTGACTAACAATTTTGAAAGTAAAACTTGCATGAGAACACTTATGGTTTCAATGTCAATGTTGGAAAACTAATAATAATTATTGTACAATGTTTCGTTACTCAGGTGTCAGATCATGGAGCTAGTCTAAGAAAAGTTTGATGAGTTCCAAAAATTCCAGGAGTCCACACACACACACACACAAAAGTCTAGGGTAGGCAGTTTGTCTAGGGTATTGGCAGCTTTTTACAGGGTCGGCAGTACTAGTTTTTTCTAGGGTCGGTCGGGAAACAAGAAACACCAATTTTTTTTCCTGGGCCTTCTAAGAGTACCAGTTGCACCTGTGACATATTACAGATAATGTCAGCCCAGGAGAGGGCCATTTACAGTAGATATCGCAAACCTTGATCTGCGTTGCACTTCGTAAAATCAATTTTCCGTGACCTTGGCATGATATAGGTACATGTATATCTTAACAGCTCTGATAGGGCTTAGATATACTCCATTTGTATTCTTCTTCATGATACCTGGGTCAAGCAACAGTGATTTTCTGTGATTGTCTTTGGCTTTGTATAAACAAAATGTCAGTGGTGCTGATATTGATAGTGGTAACATTACATGTAGTTTTTATTTTTTATTCAAACCACCTTTAGTACAGCATTAGCAGTGTGTACTTAGGAAAGAATTAACTTCACATTTGAAACTCTTTGATGGTAACTTTTGCATCTGGAAGTTTGTGTTCCATAGTCGTTGGTAAGAAAGTTAATCTCATATGTCTGACAGTTGTCTTAAAAGAACATTGTTTTGATAGCTTCAGTTTGCATTATACATAGGTGATGGTTGGTATTTGATTTCATTTGTGTAAGTCCAATTTTTCATGTTAGAAATCACACTTCAAACCAGATTCTGAATGACTTCTACCAACACAGATGAACTTTCAGGCTAAGTTTCCTGTGCATCTGTTTCCCTGTAATTTCTACCCGTCAAGACTCTGTTCTATCCAGGGTATCAAGCATTCTTCCTGATGACCTCAGTAGCCCTCTGTGGCATATTTTTTCTGTCCAATCTCTCTATTGCACGATCTGCCAACCACATTGCATATGTATGTGTTCAAGGCACGATTCGGGTGAAAAGCCTTCTTTTGCCTAATCCACTACATCATGTATTTGTGTTTTTGTAAGGCCACAATAATTTAATTTGTTGGTTCTTCAATTAGCTGGTTCTAGATCACTTTCTTTCCCTTTAATTTCACTTTCTACATTTTGCATCTCATGTCAACTTCTCTGTGACAATGCATTGTGAATCTGTCTGAACTTTTTTGAAGAGGAGAGAGACAAGAAGTGGTCCAAATTGGACAGATCCACACATCCTACCTAACCATAGACTACTCTGAATGTGAAAGCCCGTCCTCCACAATTAAGATCTCAGCTGACTGAGGCAAACTGTGACGATCTCCCTCCCTTCCTTTCCTGATTTTCTCCAGCTGAATTCGGTTGTTTAGACTCAGAGGCTGAGTTAGGAGCCATCAAGTCCCACAAAATCGTGCTATCAATCACGTAAGATTGGGAAACGGATCTCCCCTCCCCCCTCCCCTCTCCCCTCCCTGTTTGCACAGATGACTCCACTTGTAAAACCGGACACACATGCGAACAATCTCCCTCCCTGCTTTCCCATCCCGCCTCGACTTTTATCTCGAGCGGAACGACTTTCGAATGGTAAAACATGGAGGAGGTTTTGTTTGGTTTGTCCCGACTAAACCTGACCCTTAAGTTTATAGATCAATAAATCAACATCATGTACATTTAGCTTTAACAGCCACAATCACAAGGTGGCAAGGTGATCTTGTGGTTAGGGTTGTTGACTTAGAAGCTGAAGGTTCTGGTTTTATTTGTTACTTATTTATTTATTAGCTTTTCTTAGACAAGGAATAGCAGACAAAATAGAAATCCCAGCAAAACTCCTAAAAAAACATCCAGATCTACATGTACATGTATTTTGTAAGCTTTTCTTAGCCCAGGACGAAAGTCAACAAAATAAAGATCATGACAAAACACCAAAAAAACATCTGAAACAGCCCCAACCTCTACTTGGAGCGTAGCGAAACACCATTGACTTCCTGGTGTTGAGCTGAGCGACTGACTGGATGCAGAAACAAGGGTTCAGCATGGGCAGAATGTGTTAATTGGTCACCATGCGTAAAGAAAACCTTAAAAACGTTTTAAAAACTCCAAACCTCTGCTTGGAGCATAGCAAAACACTAGTGACTTCCTGATGTTGAGCTGAGCGACTGGATGCAGGAACAAGGGTTCAGTATGGGCAGAATGTGTTAATTGGTCGCTGTCCGTACCCTACCTGTCAACGTGTCTGATGCATGCACCTATCAGGCTATCTCACCATAAATCATGTCATTGTTAGAGGTACCAGACACTTGAAGATCCAAATGTCAAGCTCCTAGAGGTGCAAGTTAGGGCAGCTTATTGAACTTCCAAGGCAACAAAAGTTGTGGGCTGACTTTGATTTTGGAGAATTTTAGCAGCAAAATTGAAGCTGTCAGTTAAAGCTATCATGTCATTGTTAAAGTATGACACAAGAATATATTAATGCTAAAAGTGCAAGTAGGGGACTATGGAACATTCCTAGTGCAAGGCAACCAAACTATCAGTTAGTTAAAGCTTATCATGTCATTGTTAAAGGTATGAGGGAGAATGAATATCTAAATGTCAGACTGGTAGAGGTGCAAGGGGTGGGGGCCATAATTGAACCACTACGAACAAAAGTTGCGTGATGTAGGCTGTCCTCGATTGTAGTGAATGTCGTCTGCAAAATTAAGGCTAGTGGCTGGCAGTAAATCATTGTCATTGTGAGAGGTACATGTAAAGTTACCAGACACTTGAAGATCCAAATGTCAGACAGCTAGGAGTGCAAGTAAGGTGGAGGGGGTGGGGTGTTGAACCTGCTTGGATGGCGCGTGCTGTAGGCTGAACTTGATTTTGGTTTGGCAAATGTCGTCTGCAAAATTAAGGTGGGTATTCGGCAGTATTTATCATGTCATTGTTAAAGGTAAGAGACAGGAAGATCTAACGTTAAATGTCAGGCTGCTAGAGGTTCAAAAGTTGCGTGCTGCGGGCGTGACCTTGATTTTGGCGAATGTCGTCTGGGAAATTTAAAAGCTATCGGGCAGTAAATTATGTCATTGTTAAGGTCACACCAATTTGATTTGTTGTTTCTTGGATTTTTTCAGAAAAAATCAGAAGTGACAGGGGAAATAAAAATAATAAAAAAAACAGGCCAAGGCCCGGAAATGTTACGATATGAGCAATGAAGTCAACATACCAGGCTGGTTTTAACAATAGATTTTGAACTTTTAGTGAAACAAAGTTGCATTGTTACATTGAAAAATTGTAACAACTAGGAAGAAAAGGACTTTCCTGAACCATTGGAACCAAAATATGACCTTGAGCATTTTGCAGTTGAGTCAGAACCTAAAATCTTTTTTTTCTTCTTGCAAATCAGAAAAAAAATGGACAGGGCGAATCCAAGAAACAACAAATTGATTGGTGTGGCCTTAAATGTATGATACAGGAAGATCTAAATGCTAGAGGTGGAAGGCAACAGAAGATGCGTGCGGCGGGCTTGAACTTGATTTTTCTTAACTGTCGGCAGCAAAATTAAAGCAGCATGGTGTTGTTAGACTATTTAGCCTTCTAAAGTGTTGGTCTTTTGGGCACTACATACCATATTTAACTGTGCAGATGTTGGAGAACAATACTGCTGTATTGTTTCTGTAAGGTTTTAGGTTGTAAGGAAGTTCAACACTAAGTTTTGCAATCATTATAAGAAATGTTGAAATGTCAAATGTACCACTTAAAAATCATATACTAACTTAAGCTTGCTGTGTGCCTGTAAAATGTATCACCAGTTCTTATGATTATTTCAGCGTAGGGATTAAAGTTACCTACAAAAAGAGCTACAAATGTAAGCCAATAAATGCACTTTACGGTATGGCATTGTAGACT